TGGGCAGGGTGGGAAAGCATCAAAGATAGGTTGAAAGAACAACGCGTTTTTGTGTCAGCAGAGAGAGATAATTTCAGTGCGATAATACATTTTATCATCATTAATTTAGTGATCCAGACAAATGTATAATTTGAATTTCGGACATTACATCCATAAAGTAGTTCACAGGGGCGTCGAAAAAGAAAAAGTGGGGACAAAGAAGTAGATAAGTCGAAGAAAAGAAAAACAGTAATAAAATGACCATAATTGCAAGCCGTAGCGATTGGGAAGGGGGGGAATATAATGTTTTAAAATATGTGGGGGAAAAAGCAGGGGGAGGAGGGGGGGTGACGACATACAACACACGTGTAATGGAAGGTAACGGGGAGGGTGGTGGTGGTGGTCGTGGTGGTGGAAGAAGCAAAACATGCAGGGGTGGGTGGGTGGGTTGGTTTGAAGCGAACCAGTGTTGGTGCGTCGGGTCAAGGGGGAAGAAACGATGAAATAAATGTGGTAAGTCTAATACTATTAAAACAATATTTTAAAAATTCAACATTTTTCAATGAAGAAGAAAAATAACTAGAAAAATTGTAAGGGAAATGAAATTATTATAAACTACATAAAACAATACAGCAATACATTTCAGTCCATCCAAATACATGCAGTTATTACTAATAATGCATGTCAAACTCGTATAAATGTGCTGAGTTATGAATGACGAAGAGCCCACAAGACACTTGGCACATTTCCCCTGGAAGCCAAGTAGGACATTACAGACGAGAAACAGACAAGATCAAAGCACCCACTAAAACTACTCAGACAATACAAAATCACCTAAGAAGACAAGACACACAAACTCCAAATAAATTCGCTGCCCTCTCTCGTCTGAGACAAGATAAAACACCCAACATCCACCCATATTATACAATTATACAAAATCAGACAGGAAGACAGACATACTCCAAATTCGCTGCTCTCATTTAAGACAAGATCAAATCACCCAAGAACCACCAACATTATACAAAAACACACAAGGGACACACTCCATATTCACTGCTTTCGCCTTGAGTTCATCGCCACACCAAGCAGGCCATCTTACAGGAGGGGCAGACAAATGAACTAGTTTGTTTCAGTAAGGGTTTTACGGCAATTGCAACACTATAAGGTCATCTAAGTGCCGAAGATTAGAGTTGTTACAAGCGAGTAACAAATATAAAAAAGAAGAAGAAGAGACCATGACGATAGCTGTTTGACAGGAAAGAAGGAGCAAACAACACCAGAACACCCACCAACCACCCACGACAAATCAACACACGTCTCCAAAGCGAAGGAGGGGAGATCGATTCAACTCGTTTTACATCCCCATAGACGCAATTTAAGTCATTTAGGGGGCAGGCTGCCTCGGACCTGCCTACCAGGGCTAACCCGGGCTGAGAGG